TGCACGTGGGTGGACTCGCCTTTATCCCTACAAATTCGCTGCCGCTGCGCCGCCTCGACGATAGGTCAACCGAGTTCGCCGTAGGCTATTAATAGGTTCGCGTGGTATTTATGCACGCTGTTGTGACGAGTAGCTCAGCTATTCGCTCTGCCGACAATCCCCCAGGGTCACCAGCTATAGGTAAACGATATTTTTTTTTCTCTCTCTCTCTCTCTCTCACTTTCGTTAGGCCGCGAATTCCTTCCGAATGGATCTCCAACGAATCTCCAGTGCGCAAAACGCGACGCAAGTCGCGTGAATGTGACTAAATAACAAGGAAATCTCGAAGGAGGCGATTGACACGCGAAGAAAATAAACATACGGCTCGGGATCCCCGCAGATTTCACGCAAGATACTTCGAGACGGCCATCGCTTCTTTTTGCCGTAGGTGAGAGAGAGCTTGATGACGCTGCCCGACGGCGTGTCACGCGAATTTCGACCCGAGGGGAGCGTCAATTGTCGGAATCACGGACAACCATTTCGCCGCGAATGGCCACGACGGAATGAGAGCAAAACGGCGACAAGGCGGCGACGACGGCGCCCGCGCACTGGCGCCGGTACTACCGACGATAGCGAGTCAACTGAGGCGGGAACGGGACCGAAGTCGGCATCGGTTTTACTCCCTGCGTCATCCCTCTTCGACCACTCACGCTTTGTGCTCCTCGCCTCTCGCCCCTGCCCACTCTCTCTCCTTCCGCTCATTCCCTTCATCAAACTTGCGCCCTTATCAGCTGATACCGACGTGCTTTCACGCGCGTTTCATGAAACTTATATCTTCCCTCCACGACGAATTCTTTCGTTCCTCTTTTTCCTCTCCCTCCAACCGACGTCAATCTTCGTCCGATTACTGCACGAGTGTATCGTGTGTCACTTTTCCTCTCAAGTAACACTCTCTCCTTCACGTTCGTCAATTAACGGGCTTATTGAATATTTTTTTTGTTGAAAAAACAAGTCGACCCCGAATCAACCAAAGAAGCTCGTTACATAGAATACGAATGCAAAGTTTTCAGACATGCTTCATACAATCATACACAGACACGATAAACAGATAAGAATTGTACTGCTTAAAGAGAATATTTTACTCGTCAGAGATAATATCCTAGAAAAACGTTCATAGTTAATATTGCTTACCTAAACCTCTTTCCTTTCTATGATAGATAGAACGATAATACAAAAAGAAAATTGCTCGTAAGAGTTATAGTTGTGCGTAAGTAAGCCTAGAACATTAATGTGAAAGGAGAGGATTCTTACCTCGAGTAGAAGGATGATTCATTAATATTGCCAAAGGACACTCGTCGTCGTCCAATATGTACTCCTGATGCGCATTGCCGCTCATATTTTCGCTATTAACCTAAATCAGAAACAGGACGATCAGTACAATATGTCATTAACAAAAAATACCTGATATTTGCATTTGATTTCCAAAAAATGAAAGATTGCTAGGATCCGTATCGTGTCTTACGCAGTATTCGAATATACAATATCTAAAATCTGTGCAAAGTAATTAAAAAAGAAAGAAATATTATTCCACGTCCAAAAGATGTCTTGTATCTGTTTTCTTACAGTTTTCTTATCGCGGAGATAATCTACCATTCTTTTTTTGATCTTAATCTATTTTTCATGTCCAAAAGATCACGTTTTCCACGTCCAAAAGATGTCTTGAATCTATTTTCTTATCATATTTTCTTATAGTTTTCTTATCGCGGAGACAGTCTACCATTCTTTTTTTTATCTTAATCTATTTTTTAACTTGATATCATACTCTTCCCGACTTTATCTTTTATCAATTTTATCTTATTTTCTTGTTCTTGTTATACAGTTATTTAATATAAATTAACTAATAAATTAAATTAGTATACTTAATATAAATGCGATACTAAATTTGTCATCCTGTTTTAAAATCAATTATTTGCTTTCACAACTTTTTTTTACAAAATCTATCAAATCTTCAGAAACAATATTCCCCGATGAATTGGTTTTTTTCTCTCATGAAATAAATAATATCACCGCTTTTTATTACAACGTTCAACAGTAAACATGATGAGTCCTAGATCAATATTCTCCCTTATATTACTTAATATTAATCAATTCATATTAATTGAAGAGCGTGACTTATCTATTTAATTTTTGTACTCATTAAATTTCCACAGACTTTCGATATAAGGAAAAAAGCTAACTTCTTCGAGAACTTTTGAAGTTTGACACCAATCACCGCTTCGTATATAACGACGCACATTACTCACGATTGGACCATGAACGTATTACGCGTATGCTAACCTGTACAAGGCAATACAACTGCGGGTCCATCTTTTCTAGGCCGTATTTAGAAAGCATCTCTCGCACGACATGAGCGGCGGAGTCTCGTACGCTCAACAGCAACGTCTTGTATGGCACGTCCTTACACAACGCCTCGCCATAAATTTTCAATGTACCGCCCGTGTCGGGGCCACCGTCTTTGCTGCGAAATTGCTGGAGTCTCCTCTCGAGCTTCTGTTGACGACGGCGCCTCATCACCGCTTCTGGATTCGAGATGCTCCTCGTGAAACTGGTCTCGGGCAGTTCTAAAAAGAATAACATTGTTATTGATATGTCGTGAATGAAAGAGAAGAAGTCTATTACTAGTTATTATAAGGAAGTATCCTGACGTATTGAAATTATCACAATGCGACTATCAGTAATCAAGCCGAGATGATTGTGTCTGACGCAACATACCGAGGTATTTTTAGATATTGCGTTTGCTTCAGAGGACGACAAAGAGAAACACGACAGAATGATTGAATGCAGGATGCTCATTGTGCGCACAAACTAGTGCTGTCATCTTCGATTACTCGGGTGTCTTTCAGTAAATGAATACACGACTAATTGTTGACGTTACAAATTATTGATTTTTCTAACGATAACAGATAATAATAACGTTCAAAATTAGCCGTATACTTAGTTACTGAAAGACTCAGGTATCCGGGTAGTCAAAATTGCAAACAGCACTAACACGAACACATGCGTTTCGGTCACGTACGCTCCGAAACTTCGATTCGATTCACACGCGCAATGTTTTGTACGAAATAAAGAAGAAAAAAATAAAAACAATGAAGAAATACATGCTAACCCGTGTAGAGCTTCTCAGCGACGCCGTTCTGATCGTCGGGCGCAGCGTTCTCGTCCTGCTCCAAGCTCTTTAGTCGACTGAGCTTCTCCTGCTTCTTGATCTGCTTCTTTTCCCGCTTGCTCAGCTTCCTGCGGAAGCTCGAACCCTCGGCTGAAGAAAAACCGACGCCCTGCGTATTAGTCTTGTCGTCGATTCTCCTCAGCAAGAAGCGTCCCTCGCGGTCGTCTATGTGCCAATTTAGTTGCACGAGCAATGGCTTCTCCTCTAAGCCCAGCTTACGCTCTTCTGCAAATAAAAAAGAGATTACATTGCATACTCTGTATTTTTAATGACGATAAGAAAAAAATAAAGTTACTGAAATATTAGAATCGATTAAAACCGAATCATAAATTCATACGTAATTAAGCGTAAGTATTCAGTATTTAGACGTCAACAAAATAACTGAGCATATAACTGTGCATATTAAATTAAATACATATGATTTTAATTTCAACTAACGAAAGTTACTTCTTTTGCGATACAGTCAAGCGTTACTTCGACTCACCTCCATTCTCATGGATTTCGTAAAGAGCGTATTCTGGAACGGACAGCATTCTCATGTCGGGACGAAATTTTTCTATAAGCGTTTCTATTACTGCTTGGCTGGTCGCGTCTGATGCAACCCTGATGCATTTCGTAGCGACTTTCTGACCGCTGTCTTGGAAGTAGAACCTCATTACCCCGTGAAATTCTAAATCCTGTCGAGGAAAGTAATAATGTAAAATAAACTACAAAATGTGAACGATTTTTTGTTAAGTCAATTTTACTTTTTATTGATTTTATGAAGACTTTTGCAGACCCTATCATTGAATTTCGAGAATGTGCCAGAAAAAGCTGTTTACATTTTACAGAACCAACAAATGGATATCTAATCAGTCAAAAACCAGTATAGAAATACCAAGATACCGGACATTTTTGTAAAGTTACGTTCGAAGATGGTAGAGAGACAGCCAGGAGCTACCCGCTCTATAATACTCACTTCGTTGGGTTCCGAAAGTTCGAACAGGTCTAAACGATTAGCATTCCATTGTTGTATGACCCCCCTGAGAGCCTCTCGCTCTGCCTTCTTGTTCGCCAGTTCCGTTGCCATCCTGAAAAACATGACATGTGTAAGTAACTGCAAGTAACCGACACGACCGGCCGTCGTAGAAGCTGCAGTACGACCGATACAATAATTTTCTGGTATAAAAATCCAAATCATTTTACACGCATTTCAATTTTTTTTTTAATTTTCTAACAATGTATCGTTACTATTTTTCCTAAACATTTAAAGATCTTATGTTTTCTGAATTTTGTGCATTTCGCGTTTTTTAACGTATTTCTTTCTTCACACCTCTCTCTCTCTCTCTCTCTCTCTCTCTCTTTCTGCCATCCTTTAAGAATTTAATTTAATTTTTCAGAGAAGAAAATTTCCCAAAAACGCGCAGAAAATTTGGATTTGATTCTCCCGCCCCTTTTGATATTTCCTAAAGCCGTTCCTACCGCGTAACAAGCCGCAAAGCTGACTTTGTCTGTTGATACCACACGGCGAGATAAATTACCGCAGCAGAAATAAAGTGCGAGGCGTCTGTTCGGCACACCAGGCTACTCTAAGTATCGCTTCGTGTTATGATTCTCGTTATGCAGTACGAGTGTCCGATGCATGCGATGCGTTCAGAAACGACTCTTCTTTGACTACTACGAATTATATAAGGTGTTCGAGAAAGATGTACATGCATACCTCATG